ATAATATTTGTGGGCCAGGGATTTAGCTCAGCGGTTCAGTGGCCTGCCCTGCAAGCACAAGGACCCGAGTTCAATCCCCGGTACCAAAAAAAAAAAAAAAAAAAAAAGATAGGAAGAAAGAAAGTTGATACTCTTACCACATGTCTATATTCACAGCTCTTTGAGAACATGGACACAGAACACATGTGCCTTCTCAAATGCATAGAAGGAAAGTAATTTCTATAGCTACATCACTGTCCCGATGTGATGAATTATGAAAAGCTGTTCTAGAGATTTCTTTGAGAAAAACAGTCACCAATGGCAATAGATTTCGTGACACTGGTTGAGTACAAAAACTTCTTTATTTGTATGATATACTCATTCTGCTCCATAAATAATCTGTCACTTCAGAGAAGAATGGCAACTGTGTTCAAGTCAACAGATAAACTGGTGGCATTCAAAGCCAAACTTGAAATATGGGAACAATAAGTAAATGGATTTTTCTATACGTCTCAAACAGTAGCAAAGATTTAGAAGAAGAGAATGAGCCAGGTCCTACTTTCCCCAATCTGATGCACAATCACCTATCTTGGCTTTCAAAAGAATTGAGGCACTACTTCTCAACCAGAAAGTCTCTGAAACTGGAAATAAATGGGTATATTACCCATTTGTGAAGAAGCTAGGTGATACAACTTTGTCTGTGCTAGAAGAGGAGCAACTGCTCCACTACACAAAGGATAATGGCCTTAAAATCTTCTGAAACAAGTTCAAATCTCAACATGTTAGAAATTAAAGGTGAGGTGGAATAACCTGAGGTCGCTACAAAAGCACTGAAGTGCCTGATGCCATTTATAGCACCATGTCTTGATGAAGGAGCATTTTCTGCAATTACAGGCACCAAATCAAGATTTAGAGCAGATAATATTTAGGCAAAATAGGGCCAGGGATTTAGCTCAGTGGTTCAGATGCCTTTCTTGCAAGCACAAGGAAAAGAGTTCAATCCCTGGTAGCAAAAAATAATAATAATAAATAAATACATAAAAAAACAACATGCTTCAGGTTCAATATTCTAATTACCCCTGGATGTGATCATTCACTTGCAGGAAAACATGGTGAAAGCTTACATTGCTTTTGCATTTCAGTAAGTTGCATAATTATTTTGTTATAGTAAAACTCCAGATATAAAGTCTACAATGAATAGAACATACGTGTTACATCCAAAAAAACCTCACCCATGTTACTTTAAAAAATTTTTGTCCTCAAGGAAATCAGGACCTGCTACCAAAAAGTTTGAGCACTGCTGACATACATTACATAAGACAAATTAGATAGCATTTTGTTTCTCCGAAGTATTTACAGAAGCCAAAACTGTAGAGATGGCAGGTGGAAGTGTGAGTGCCAGAGATAGAAAAAGAGGTATTGTTTCTCAGGTCTGAAGTTTGTCTTATAAAAGATAAAGTGGCATTCATAGGAGTAAGGTACAACAGCACACAATATGACTGCACTGTGTGTTAAGAGTGGTTAAAATAGAAAGGGATATTAGATGAATTTCACTGTGAGCCTATGAGAGTGAAGGTAGAAAATGGCCCAGATAGCGCCACTCCAGGCTCTCCGCACTCCAGAGAAGTTAACAGCAGACTTGACTGCATTACCTGCCCAAACCTCCAGCCTTTCTAACTGAGCCACAGGGTGCTCGTCCTATTGAATTAGAGAAGACAGGAGACAGTGTTTTTACACAACACTCCTGAAGGCAGTGTCCTAAATGCGCACCATCACATGACTCTTTCTACATGACCACAGAATCTCACAACTAATGAATGCACAGGAAGACGGGAAGAATAAAAAAGCAGACAAAAAGAGAAAGTGACATAGGAAGAAAGTAATAGGGAGATATCTTCAAATAAATAGACTGCTGATCCAGTGCACCCAGAACAAGGTAGCATTCATCATCATGTCCTTAACCTCCTGTAACTGTACTGGCGAGAAATGGGGTGAGAAAGAACTATGCACATATTCCAGAACTTCTAACACACATGAGGACTTTCAACCAATAGAGTGGAAGACTTGAGGATACTGCATGACGTTATTTAGTTCTAACAGTAATATTTATCCTCAAAACTTGTCCTTTTCTTTCCAGCCATATATTAGAGAGACATGTCATGGAAAGGGAAAACATGAGCTTTCCCAATGCTTTTGTCCTGCTGGGCTTCTCAGAGTTTCCCTGGCTGGAGAGGCCCCTCTCTGCAGTGGTCCTGGTCTCCTACCTCCTCACCCTGCTGGGGAACAGCTCCATCATCCTCCTCTCCCTGGTGGACCCCAGACTCCAGACACCCATGTACTTCTTCCTGGACAACCTCTCTCTACTGGACCTTGGTCTCACCTGCACCATTGTGCCCCAGCTGCTGGCCAATTTGTGGGGAGCAGAAAAAACAATTGCAGCCTGGGGCTGTGTTACACAGGTCTATCTTTTCAGCTGGACAGGCTGCACTGAATGCATCCTTCTTGCCGTGATGGCCATTGATCGCTATGTGGCCATCTGCCGGCCCCTCCAGTACACTCTCATCATGCGTCCCCAGGTCTGTGTGCAGATGGCTGCTGCCTCCTGGTCCAGTGGCCTGGCCAGTTCTCTGGTGCAAGCCACACTCACCCTCCAGCTCCCCCTCTGTGGGCACCACACCCTGGACCACTTCTTCTGTGAGGTTCTTGTTCTCATCAAGTTGGCCTGTGGAGACACCACTGTTAATGACCTGGTGATGTCTGCAGGATCCATCCCATTTACACTGGTGGCTCCCCTCACGGTGCTCATCTCCTACATCTTCATTGTCAGGGCTGTACTGAGGCTCCCTTCAGGTGAAGGCAGGCACAAGGCACTGAGCACCTGCAGTTCCCACTTGCTGGTGGTCACCATGTACTTTGGCCCTGCCATGTACATGTACCTCCAGCCTCCTGACAATAGCTCTCAGGCTAAATTAATGTCCTTATTCTACTGCAGCATCACCCCACTGCTCAACCCACTTATCTACACCCTAAGAAACAGGGATGTGAAGACAGCATGGAAGAGGATCCTGCAACCCCACGGCTGGTTAAGTTCTTTAAAAGACAGATGACCTTGCACTTTGCTGAATCATGCTGACATGTCTGCTTTTCGAAATGAGAGTACCTGATTTCAAATGAAAGAGTTCCCTTCTCCAGATATTAATTAATCTGAGAAACTAAGAAAAATTTTGGATGGAAAGTTGTATTCTGTATTATTAAACTGAGCCATTTTGTGCTATTTTTATCCCTACCCAATATTTCCTCTCCACAGACACAATGGACAGTCCATTCACACATCAATGGGAAGAGACCCTTACACAGTCATGTGTGCTGCAGAATTCACAATACCTAAGGTGTGGAACAACAATAAGTAAACATCAGTAAATGAGGGGATAAATAATACATTGCATATGTATATAAAGAAATATGATTTCACCTTAAGAAACACAAATTCTTCCATATATGATAATGTTTTAATTATAGTTCCTGAAATAAGCTAAAGAAGTAACTGTAAAGAGCAAATGTTGTCATTTCTATGTGAAATATGACAAACTAACTCTTTAAAATGAGTTTAAGAACCAGAAGTTGCTGTTTCAGAAGATGAGGAGATTAGAGAGCACTGTGGGGAGGAGTCAGCAGGGCTGAGGAGAGGAGGAGACACAGTGGAGCTACTCAGAGAAATGGAACCAAAGGCACCTGGAAAAGGAAGGAGGGAGGGGCATATATCCTAATGCCAAAATGGCTCTGAAAAGAGAGACTTGTAGATCAAACAAAACATCCGCATAGGACTCTATGACATGATTATCCACCCGCAGGGCTGTCTGTGGGTCTCCTGCCTGTGGGAGGAGCAAAAACCACCATTCCTGGGAAATTCCAAAAAAAGCAGAGATGGCAAATGTGTGGCAAACTCAGTCCGTACAGGAATCTGGAATACAGGATGCTAACTTCTTTAGCTTCCTGCGGAGAGAGGACACTGCATCCTGCCAATGAATCCTGCCAGCACACACAGGAGCGAATGACCAAGAAGCTGCTCCCTCCAGACTGGTCAGGTTAGTTTTTGTCTCTTTCCAGCCACAGCCACTAATTGGAACCTGTAGGAACAGCATGGGTAGGATGGCAGTGGACACCTGGTGGAACAACCCAACCCTCCTGCCCTAAGACTTGTGTGAGAGAATGGCTCAGAACACAGACCTGACTGTAATCAGCACCACAAGCAGTCTTGGGCCAGGAAGTCAGCACTCTTTCCAAGTGCAGCAGTAAGTCAGGAGGGCAGCACTGAGAGGACCCAGCCCTGGTGGAACAGAGGTGGCTGTGCAAGGTGCTGGAGGGGCCAACTGTACCTGGGACTGGAAGCAGCCTGAAGCTGTCTGTCTGAGGGACTGCAGCATCTAGAAAAGCCACACAGAGACACACAGGCTAAGGAGCTGGTGGGCCACCCAGAAAGCTGGTGGCCGAAGACTGGTAGCCCACATCCAGAGGCCAAGGCCAGCCCACACCAGCACTAAACCTCCCAGAGACTTGACAGGTTTCCCACCACAGAGCAGGGCTCTGACTTGGACATTACGGCAGAACTGTGGGCTCCAGAGGAATTCCATTTTCTTTTTTCTTTTTTTGTTCAAAGTTTGTTTCGTTTTCCATTTTCTGTGTTTTCTTTGGGGAGTCATTGTTTAGGTTTTGAATTTTGTTGTTTATTTTATTTTGCCCATCGTCTTCTTTCTCTCTTTCCTCAACTGTATTTCTTGATGTTTTCATATTTTTGCATAAATGAACGTGGTCACTAACCTTTCTGGCTCACTTCAATATTCTTTTGCTTTCTCCTTAACCATTTCTTCCCTGTCTTCTTCTCCTGATTTCCAGAGATTGAGTGATCGTCCTTTGTCTTTTATCCTTCCTTCTCCTATGTTTCTCTTCACTTTTTGCTTTGTTTTGTTCCTCTTAAATTCTCCCCCTTCTTCCCCCTATGTGGAGTAAAATCTCTCCACCAAAGGGAAACTCTCTGCACACAAGGTCCTGGCTTCTTTTGGGTATTGTTATATAACTATAGATCTCACTTCTATGGCTAACATTACCAAATAAGCAATTACCACAGCTTGTCAGATTCTAAGCTGTACCTGATGATATTGTTGCTGCTAATTATATTTCATAAGCCAAGATTCCATACCTGTTATTAAAAAAGGATAGACTCAAATCAATGAAATCAGGAATGAAAAGAATGAAATCACAATAAATCCCAGAAAAAAACCACAATATCATCAACACCTGAGATGAGAACCTTTATTCTAATAAGATGAGAAACAAAGCAAAACAAAAAGAAATCAACAGATTCTTACATACATATGAAGTACCAAACCTGAATCAAGAAGTTTAAAAATCCTAAATAACCGAGTAATAGTTAATGAAATTGAAGAGGTAATTAAAACTCTATCATCATGGAAAAGCCCATGTCCTCATGGATTCAATCCTGAATTCTACAAGAAATTATAAACCCAGATTTAAAGACCCAATCAAAAATGTGCATCTAAGATCATACACACTTCTCAGATAAATAAGTAGAACAACAAATAAATATAAAAATTTTAATGTCACGGCCATCTGAGATGCAAATTAAAAAATCATGGAGATACCATCTCTATCCTAAAAGAATGACTGTTACCAAGAAATCAACCAACATCAAATGCCAGAGGGGCTGTTGGGAAAAAGAAACTCCTATACAGTGTTGGTGGGAGTGCAGACTGTTGTAACCCCTGTGGAAATTAGTGTAGAGATTCCTCAAAGAACTAAAAATGAAGGTTCCACTTGCCCCAGGAATCCCCCTTCACAGTTCCTCCCCAAAAGAATTAAAAGCATCAAACCACAGTGGTATATGCACAGCCATGTTCATAGCAGAAGAGTTTTCAATAGCTAAAACTTGAACACACCCCAAATGCCCATCAGTGGGGGACTGGCTAAAGAAGATGAATTTTTTTTATACAGTGATGTGTTACTCATCCATGAAGAAAGATGAACCTGAGATGTGTAGCTAAATGGATGCATCTGTAGAACATACTCTTAAGTAAAATAAATCTGACACACGTGTAAATATTTCTTTGTTTCTCTAGTATAAGAAATTGAAAGTCTAAATCAAGTACAAAATGTATAATAGATATTGTGAAATAGGAAGAAAATGTTCAAATGGGAAGGGATATGAGGGAGTGGACAGAGGGAAACAAAGGAAGGGAAACAACAAATGAGAAAAGAAAGATAAAATGAAAGCAGAGGTAATCTAAATAAGAAATGGATGATAGGTATAAGAGGCAGGGATTGGGGATGTCAAAATATGAATCAACATATGTCATGTACAGGTACAAATTCCATAAAATGAATGTGATTGTGCATATCTTAATTGTGCCTATAAACTTAGGTAATGATATAGTAGAATAATGTATCACTGTGATATGACTCTTAATTCTTTTGGAAACATGCCCAGCACAAGGATAGCTGTGTCAAAGGGAACCTCTAGTCCTAGTTCTTTGAAGTATCTCTATATTGATTTCCACAGTGGTTGCACCAATCTGCACTCCCACCAACAATGGAGAAGGGTTCCTTTCTCCCCACAACACCAGCAACACTTTTTATTGGTTGATTTCTGGATAGCAGCCATTCTTTCTTGGGTTAGGTGGAATCTCAGTGTTGTTTTCAACTGCATCTCTCAAACGGTCAGTGATGCTGAACATTTTGTCATACCACAGTGATATGTGTGCACCCATATTTATAGTGGCACAGTTTGTAATACCTAAGACTTGGAAACAGCCCAAATGCCCATCAGTTGGAGACTGGATAAAGAAGATGTGGTTTTTCTATAAAATGGAGTACAACTCAGCCATAAAGAATGAGAAGCTAGAGTCATTCCTAGGAAAATGGATGCATATTGAGGCTATAATCTCAAGTGAAATAAATCGGACACACGTGTGTAAATACCAAATAGTTTCTGTGGTGTGAAAAACTGAAAGTGTAGATAAGATCCAAATTGTGTAATTGACAATGTGAAATAGGAAGACAAGGGCTAATGGTGTAGGGGAAGTGGAAAGGGCAAGGGAAAGGAAAGAAGGGAAAGGAAAAATAGAATCAAAGTCTTTGTAAACAGGGGAGGGGCAGAGGTGAAGGGAGGGAGGGTGTATGGGGAAAAATGAGAACCACAATCTGCCATGTGTAAAGGTACAAGATTCCAATGATAACTGTAACTGTATTGCATAATTTAAAAGTACCAATAAACTCAATGAGCAAAAATAATAATAATAATGTCCGTGCTATACCATATGTCTCCTTTAATACATTTTTATAAAAATTTGGAACTGCAGGTTGGGTAAATGGAATTTTAGGAAAATATTCCCATCTAACTACATGATCAACTCCAGTTCTCATTTTCAAAGGAAGCAAATTGATCAACATGGCTTATAAATTGTCATTATTTATAGATGACATGATACTCTACATAGAAGACACCAAGAAAGCTTTCTAGACTGAATAACCAAATTCAGAAAAGTAACTGGATAAAAGGTCAATGCACAAAAAGCAGTAGCTTTCCTGTGCACAAACAACAGAATCACTGAGAGAGAACTAGGGCAAACAATTTCGTTTACAATAGCAAACAAAAATGTGAAATAGCTAGGAATCAACTTCATAAAAGAGACCCAAGACCACTGCTCCAAAAACTACAGCACTCTGAAAAAAGAGTTCAAAATGATATCAGAAAATGGATATACATCCCTTATTCAGGGATAGGAAAAATAAACATAGCGAAAATGGCCATTCTGATATTCCAGCAGCATACTTCACGAACCTTGAGAAAACAATACAAAAATTCATTCAGAACAAGAAGAGGCCTAGAACAGCAAAAGCAAATTCTAGGCAATAAAGATAAGGCAGGGGATGACACAACACCCAATTTGAAACTATTTTACAAAGCTACTGTGATAAAAACAGCATGGTACTGGCAAACAGACTCAAGTATGAGTGGAACCAATTAGAAGATGCAGAAACAACTCCATCACACTCAGCCACCTCATGTTTGACTAGGCCAAACCCCCTCACT